ACATTTTTATAGTAAAAATTAACCATTTCTTTACGCTTGTTAAGAGCGTTTCATATTATTCACAGATAATATTCGAAACAGTGATAATCATAAAATATTGGTAAAGGACTGTCCTATACATTGAACTAAACTTACCAGTTTGTTCGCAAATCTGCTGCTCGCTTACTTCCAGAAATAGGTCTCCGCCTTCCTCCTCCCTCGACATCTCGAACTCAACTGAGAAAGACAACCACGTGTTCTTACCGCATGCATCCCACGTGCACGGTTTGGGTTCTTTCTATACGCTTATCCTGGCAATTGCGAGGTAGTAAATCCCCGTTATAGTGCCCGAAATGGGAGACAATTATATTTACAGTAATTCTAAACGTTTAACGGTTTCTAAGCCGGATAAAACACTCCTCCGAGGTTTCACATTCTCTACCAAAACCTCTGAGTGTTTTCTCCATTACGAAGCACATGTACCACATGTGGTGTCTCCTTGGGCAAGTGAAATGTACCCCTGTTCACCCAGCAGTGAGTTAGATGTATTTAACGCCGCTTTTAACAGTATTCCAGTTACACCACGGCGTGTCAGCTTAATGTGGGAGGAAAGCCCGAAGTGATGCGGGTCTCAGACGTTTACCACTTCGGTGAAACCCACGAGCACGGGTATGGTGCTGACCAACCTAGAAACATAATCGGGGCGAACCGGGATTCGAACCCACAATCATAGGTTTCTGGCGTGCCCAGGGACGCAACTCTGCACAGCGAATCGCGGCGCCTTAGACGACTTGGCAAACCGTGCCCCTTGTATCGATAGAGTATCGGCTGTATAATGCTGCGTTATGTAATGACATATCTAATCGAATGACAACTAAACATGGATGAATAAACATGGAAAAATATACATGGAGGAATAAACATGGAGAAATATACAATAAGGCCAGAGCTTTAACTTTTTGAGCAGTTGAGTTTTGAATTTTGAGCAGCGAATGGGTACCCGGTAGGATGAGATGGTAATGTGGCTGTTAACCTTCTGGCGCCTCACAGGCAGCTTGGGTTGTATACTCCCTAGGGAGCTGAGAATGGTGGTTGTGTGCATACTGATCCATTTACCGTGTCAATAATAGTGTAGCGCTTGGAACATGTCATTGTGGTGTGGATATAGCGCATAATAAATCATTAAAGTGAGTGAGGTTTTACGCCGCTTCTAGCAATATTCCAGCAATATTCCAGCAATATCACGGCGGGGGAAACAAGAAATGGGCATCACACATTGTACCCATGTCGGGAATCGAACCCGGGTCTTCGGCGTGACGAGCTAACGCTTTAACCACTAGGCTACCCGACCGCCCCTAATCATTAAAGAATATAGTGACTTATTTGTTTAAAATATGGCGACATCAGATATTTTTCACATTGAAGTATGCAGCATGTAGTGTGGCTTTCTTTCTTAACAATTTAAAACTCTTGAACCTAAACGTCATACGAAAAAAGGTGATGCGTGAGTGAGTTGTCTTTTACGTCGCTTTTAACAGTATTTGTTTATAGTTATATTACTGTGTTTGATCTTCGTGTGGAAGGAAAGCCGACGTTTCCCACTGTTGATAAACCCACATGCAATGTGCGGACAAACCGATGATATAAATTCATGGCGGATTCGAACCGAGGAACATACGGTCACAGAGCGCCAAAGGGACACAACTCTGTAGAAGAAATTGCGACGCCATAGACGACAAGGACAACCGTTCCCCAGGCATGTCATTAAAATAATGTATTATCTTGAGTGGAAGATTACCTGAACAATGCCGAAGATCCGGGTTCGATTCCCCAAATGGGTACAATGTCTGAAGCCCATTTTTAATGTCCCCGCCGTAGTAATACTTGAAATTTTGCTGAAAGCGGCGTAAAACCATACTCACTTGCTGATTCAGTGCATCTAATAGATGGCGGGAATTTCGAAAAGTACAAAGAGGCACAAAATATTTGACTGCATTATTATCAAATATACTCAATTTAATTATTGTAAAACATTCTGCATCTTCATGCACACGGCATTTACAAATGAAACGTCGTGTTCCTCATAATAAGGAAGTTGACATTCATAATTTCCTCTCTTAACTATATTACTTCTAAATGCCATTCCAAAACTTAATCCCCACAGTTGGATGATGTGTTTACTAAGTGACTAGGGCAACATGCGCTCTAATGACTCTCCCCCCCCCCCCCCCCCCCCCCCCGCGTCCTGTCGTCCTCCTTACTGACACTGACCCTTGCCATTAATCACAAGGGTAAATATCGTACCAAGATTAGACATGATCAATAGAAGTCAGTTGTGTAAAATGGGATGAGCTGAAGAGGTCAGGAACGAAAGTACCAACCAGATCCTTGAAATGTGTATGGCCTGTTGTGTTCCGACTTTAAGCCGCGTGTGTATTGACACGTGATCTGTATTTAGCTTGCAGTGTCAGTATTCAGAACTTTCGATTTTGTTTTCTGTCTCAGAGCGGCGCCGAACGTCTCCGTGGTCTAGGTAGAGCGACCGCCTGGAGAGCGGAAGGTCCGGGGTTCGAACCCCAACCGCGTCCTACCAAAAGACGTTTAGACGATACTTGTTGTTACCCTGTCTGGCACTCGGCATTAAGGGTCCAAAACAAGGACTGGTCGGCAAGGAGTCAGTATGCTGTGTCTGAGTGGTGTATTTGTGTTGAACTGCGACATGGTGTCTCAGTGGGCTAGCACTTTAAATTGGCATTAACCCGGACTAGTACAAGCCACACACAGACACACACACACACACACACACACACACACACACACACACACACACACACAGACACACAAACTGCAATGACATATAACTGCAATAATCTTGGACGCGACGTTAAACCCCGTTTCACCTCACCTCGCCTCACCTCACCTCACCTCACCTCACCTCACCTCACCTCACCTCACCTCTCAGTACGCCATATTCCAGTAATGCAATACTGCCCATTAAGTGTACAAATCTGGACAGGTATACATGTGTATACATAGCACCAGCAACGACTTACAAATGCATAGGTTGATTGATAGCCTAACATAAGAGGAATTGCGTAATAGTGAATTTTGTCCACCTTATTCTCCTGATCTAGCTCCGTCTGTTTCGAAACACGAAGAAACCTCAAGACTCACTCACTCACTCACTCAAAACCCACTCACTCACTCACTCAAAACCCACCCATCTACTCACTCACTCACTCACTCACTCACTCACTCACCCTCCCACCCACCCACCCACCTACTCACTCACTAACCCACCCACCCATCTACTCACTCACTCACTCACTCGAACACTCAAACACTCACTCACCCAAACACCCATGGTTCAAGGTGGCTTCACACACATGCTGACAGCATAAACGAAAACAAAGACACAATCACATTCTTCCGAGGTTACACCGACTAAAACAAGGGTGCACGTTTTTACATGGATGAATGAGTGTCCCCCGACACTATCAACTATTGGCTGCACAGGCCTCAGGTCGGTTAAATACAGCCACTTCATTATCTGTCAAGATTGTGTGGGGTGATCATTTTATTTGTTCGCCGGTTCATCCATAATGTTTATGTCAGAGCCAGAGTGAGTGAGTGAGTATTCCAGTTATATCACGGCGTGTCAGCTTAATGTGGGAGGAAAGCCTGAAGTGATGCAGGTCTCAGACGTTTACCACTTCGGTGAAACCCACGAGCACGGGTATGGTGCTGACAAACCTAGAAACATAATCGGGGCGAACCGGGATTCGAACCCAGAAATCATAGGTTTCTGGCGTGCCCAAGGGACGCAACACTGCACAGCGAATCGCGGCGCCTTAGACGACTGGGCATCCCGTGCCCCCGTCAGAGCCAGAACCACTGAGGCACGGGTAAGAAAGAGTCTCCAGTGTATTGCTTGTAAGAGGTGAATAATTGGATCGGTAGTTCCCTTTGCGTGTCATCGTGCTCACAATGTCAACCACTGGTTTGTCTTTCCTTCGCTCGATTTTCTAAGATGCTTGGATCAATATACTTTACGTCATAATGGTTTGACGTCATGACGCTGATAGAATTACCTCCCCCGAGATCTTACGTATACTTGGTAACCTTGTTCCATCATTCTTGTCAATCAGTATGACGCATTTAAAATTTTATCAGTAGGAGAAACTCTTTCTCTTAATTTGTTGAATAATGGGAAGAAATATGGCAAGATAATATGAACCACCTGCTTCGGGTTTATCCATAAAATATAAGGGGCGGTCGGGTAGCCTAGTGGTTAAAGCGTTCGCTAGTCACGCCGAAGACCCGGGTTCGAATCCCCATATGGGTACAATGTGTGAAGCCCATTTCTGGTGTCCTCCGCCGTGATATTGCTGGAATATTGCTAAAAGCGGCGTAAAACCATACTCACTCACTCACTCACTCACTCACCATAAAATGTAAAAACAACGGTGCAAGTGTTAAATCAGTCATAAAATTGTTCGCAAGAATTCTCGTGCTTTAATTGTAATAGTTCAGGGAAAACTATACGTTAATAACATACACACGGGGTGGAATAAACAATATTTCTTAACAGGACCGTTGATGATTGTTGCGTGAGAAAACAAACAAATAAACACAATTTATCAAATCTAGACAATGAATTAAAAATACAACTTTTCATATCTCACAATCTTCTTATTGTATTCCACTAACTAAAATACTAGGCAATTAGGTCCTAGCATGATGATTTTGATGACACGCACGCACGCACGCACGCACTCAACACTCGCACGCACGCACGCACGCACGCACGCGCTGACACCAACTTTGGGCCTAGTCCACTTTTTGCCCTCATGTTGGCGTCATTTCAAGTTACGTAAATGACCTGTTTCAACACAATCGTCCACTTGACCCCAAACATCGGTAACGTCCTGTTGTTCAAGTGTTGGGGAACAAGATTAAGCGTAACGCGATATACGCTGTTGCTGTGGACACACGTTTGTCGCTTGGAAATCACTTCATAAGTTGTGCGTCACAGTTTACCACATGCAGACTGCAATACTCAGCTGTTGACGTGGATTGGCTTATGACATTACAAGGTGAAGGTCATCTGTTCCTTTAAAACCAACTAATTCTTGATGGTCATTCACTTCGGTCGCAATCAGGAAAATGACGAAACTTGTCGTCTGCTCCGTTTTGGTCGTCTGCCTGGCATTGTCCGCTTCAGCAGCTAACTACCAGCGAACAGTCATTGCAATCGCAAGGCCCACAGAATATGTCGAGTACATCTTCCTACAGGGCGGTGACAGAATCGGATCTCCTATCCCCATTCTCCATAACATGACCGTGGGGAACGCTCGCTCCGTCTACGCCCAGACAGCTGCCAATGACAATTTCCTCAACTGGGGAGGGAGCGAACCTGGTCAAGGTTCCTACACCAACAACGGCCGTCTAACACAGGCGGAGGGGACTCCGATGATCTGGACAACAAACGATAGGTGCGTTCCATCACCAGATACGCGTCATAAAGTTGTCTTAGGCGCTGGAATTGCGTTTTTCTAAGATCCGTCCCTTAACAGTTTCAGAAACCTATGATCGTCGGTTCTAATCTTAGATTCGTCCGGTGCGGTCGGGTAGCCTAGTGGTTAAAGCGTTCGCTCGTCACGCCGAAGACCCGGGTTCGATTCCCGACATGGGTACAATGTGTGAAGCCCATTTCTGGTGTCCCCCCGCCGTGACATTGCTGGAATATTGCTAAAAGCGGCGTAAAACCATACTCACTCACTCACTCACTCACTCACTCAGATTCGTCCTGATTGAGTTTGTAGGACTGTCGGCACCACCTCGCTCGTGGGTTTCACAAAGAAGTAACAAGCGAAATAAACTTCTCGAACAAGATTTTACTTAGCTGTATATCTAATCTTACATTTCATGTTATGAAGTCTCAGATCAAACATATGATGGCAGAGAAACCGGTTCAAGTGGAGACTACATGTTATTTGTGCTTATTTTACAGAAGTAACAGCGCGTCTGTAGAAGGTGATGGCCATGGCTTCACTGAACTCAACTACCAAGGAGAGCATCTCTGGCTAGCTGACCTCTACATGGATTGCGACAAAACAAGCAATGGCTGGTTTGATTTCAAGGTACGATCTACTGTGTTTATGCAATTAGACATTTATGTTGCTAATTAAAAAAAACACTTGTTTAATTAGCTAAGGTTCGGAATGCGAGGAATTAACAAATCTGTTTTCAATCCGAGAAATGCAACGTATTAGGGGATTAACCATACAATTTAACCTGATGACATCAAATGACAAATTAAAAAAAACAATCAATATATAAGCCAATGTTATATTTGGGATAACACTTTCTTAGTAAAGTACAGATCCCATGCGGGATTCGAACCCACCTAATCGCCAGCACACAAAGTCAGCGATCTAACCCACTCCGCCACCGAGGCTTCTCGTCGGAGTAGAATCACCAACCCAAAAGTATTGGAATCTGTACTTTACTAAGAAAACGTTATCCCAAATATAACATTTGTTATATTTGACGACTTTCTAAATGGCATTGTGTGTTCACGATATATAAACATTTACATTTTATGGCCCAACAAAAACACGTTCATGTTCATTGGACCCCTGAAGATCCGGGGTAGAATAGGTCTTCAGCAACCCATGCTTGCCGCAAAAGGCGACTATGCTTGTTGTAAGAGGCGACTAACGGGATCGGGTGGTCAGGCTCGCTGACATGGCTGATGCATGTCATCGATCCCAATTGCGTTGATCGATGCTCATGATGTCAATCACTGGATTGTCTGGTCCAGACTCGATTATTTACAGACCGTCGTCATATAGCTGGACTATTGCTGAGTGCGGCGTTAAACAACAAACAAACAAAAACCATAACAAAATGGAAGTTAAACGTTTCAGATTTTCTGTTTACAATAAACAGTGAGTGAATATGTTTAGTCCACTGGGTAAAGCGTTCGCTCGCCGTGTAAACCGCCTGGGTTCGGCTCAGCACATTCAAACAATACGTGACGTCCATTCCTAGTGTCCCCCGGACTAGTATTACAGCAAGTAGATTATTTAGAAATTATTACATGCGTATGTGTGTTTCGTGTTAATATTACGAAACGAATGTCGGAACTTTTGTGTTTCCAAAGCGAGAGCGGGTGAAGTACATGAATTCTGACATTGGTTTCGTAAATTCACACGAACACCATCATAACTATAATATGCGAATAGGTCTTCAGCAACCCATGCTTGCCGTAAAAGGTGACTATGCTTCTCGTAAAAGGCGACTAACGGTATCGGGTGGTCAGGCTCGCTGACTTGGTTGATGCATGTCATCGATCCCAATTGCGTGGATCGATGCTCATGATGTCAATCAATGGATTGTCTAGTCCAGACTCGATTATTTACAGACCGCCGTCATATAGCTGGACTATTGCTGAGTGCGGCGTTAAACAACAAACCAATTCAATATAAGCATGTTAATAAAAATCCTTACGAAGCACATAATCTAACGGGAAAAAGAACGTATATGGAGTTTGTTTTCTATCTAATTGAAAATTGAATTTTGTATGTGTTAAATTTGATTTTGTCTATGTTACTAACACTCTTCCCTGCAACAGCAGTGAAAAAGTAATATGTAGCTGGGTAAAAGATAGATTGGTTCACGACAGGGGTAAGAAATGAATTTGCAACCACATGCACCCTACCATGTTAAATATGTTATAAATATATGCCGAACAAAGCAACTTTTTTATATTTTTCAAAGATGTCTAAGATACTCATCAGTAATCTTTTTTAATAAAATTTTAAATAAAATTATATTTTAAAAATAAAACAATGTAAAAGTATTCTTTGAGTGCTGACTAAGAGCCTGTACATGATACCGGTAACTTAGGATATTTGCAACTGAAAATCAATTACATGATAAAATCAGCTGAGTTATATAGTTCCTTCTGCCCCTCGGATCTTTTTTCGCTCATTGTTGACGTAAAGCAAATGAAGTTGTTGACGTTTGCAGACATTGCTGACGTATTACTAAATGACATCACAATAGTAGAATACAGTGATTCGTAGCTGGCGCCATTTTCATCCTGTTATCTCCTAGTAAATATTAACATTATTTGTTTTCAGTTTTGTAGTTGTTATTGAGTGTTTGATGCTTTGAATAACACGGGGAAATCTAAAAACACTGTGGTTATCGGGGGCGGTCGGGTATACTCACTCACTCACTCACTCACTCACTCACGCACTGTGGTTATCGGGGGCGGTCGGGTTTACTCACTTAACACTCACTCACTCACTCACTCACTCACTCACTCACTGTGGTTATCGGAGGCGGTCGGGTATACTCACTCATCACTCACTCACTCACTCACTCACTCTGGTTATCGGGGGCGGTCGGGTATACTCACTCACTCACTCACTGTGGGTATAGGGGGTGGTCGGGTATACTCACTCATCACTCACTCACTCATTCACTCTGGTTATCGGGGGCGGTCGGGTATACTCACTCATCACTCACTCACTCACTCACTCTGGTTATCGGGGGCGGTCGGGTATACTCACTCACTCACTCACCGTGGTTATCTGGGGCGGTGGGGATACTCGGGTATACTCACTCACTGTGGTTGTCGGAGCGGTCGGGTATACTCACTCACTCACTCACTCACTGTTATCGGGGGCGGTCGGGTATACTCACTCACTCACTCACTGTTGTTATCGGGGCGGTCGGGTATACTCACTCACTCACTGTTGTTATCGGGGCGGTCGGGTATACTCACTCACTCACTCACTCACTGTTATCGGGGGCGGTCGGGTATACTCACTCACTCACTCACTGTTGTTATCGGGAGCGGTCGGGTATACTCACTCACTCACTGTTGTTATCGGGGGCGGTGGGGTATACTCACTCACTCACTGTGGTTATCGTCCTTGCAAAATGCAAAGGTAATGTATTTATTCTACGTGAACTCTCAGAACTATGACGTCACTATGGAATCCATGACATCACGATACACTGAATGACGTAAAAAAGATTATTTCCGGGTTTCTAGCTAGATTGTAGCACACACCCATCTTCGTTTTATGAAGATTGTCCACTAGCCTATATCAAAGCCTAGTTTCCACCCTTGCCATTTCAAGCCTATTTTTCCTGGCTCAGTCGTAGCGCCACTCCATGTAGAACATGAGTTGTGTCCCTTTGACCGCTTATATTGAACCTCTCTCTACAGGCTTACATGGTGGACTTCCGTTCCGGAAAGGCAGACCCAGGATGGGAGAGCCACTTCATCAACCAGGAGTTCTGTATTGTCGACGGGTCCATGTGGGGTACCCAGAGCAACCACCAGTGGAACGCCCTCAACCACCATGGGCGCTGTGGGTCCTTCAACTTCGTCATGTGGTCCCAGAACCTGTGCTTCGCCAACAAACTGGATGACCACATGAGGCCATACAGAGATGAGTGGGTCGAAGACCTCTCTCGAGAACCAACCGCCGAGTAGATATAAATTGTATCAACACTTTGGCAGTTTCAGTGTAGATTGCATCGGGTTTTGAGTTTGTGGAGATTTTTCATTTTGATAAATCGTTTATGATTCCAGTTCAGTCTTAAGTGTTCTTTTATGTTGATATGCCATAGTGATTTTTTTACGTCTTGCAGTGTCGTACATACTGCAATAGGTGATACCTTCTGTTACCGGCGGGGAGTATCGATCTTAAGATCATTACTCATATTAGACGCGCAATGTTGCAATTCCCAACCCTCAACGTTGCTATTACCGCCTCCTCGTTCCTGTGGATTCACACACACACACACACACACACACACACACACACACACACACACACACACACACACACACACACACACACACACACACACCACACACACACATACGGCACAAATTATCCTCATTGGAAAATAACGAAACGGGAAATAAGAAATCTTGCAAAGAAAACACACACAAAATCCGTATGCGTTAAAAGTGATAAGGGAAATATATTTGTATTGCTCCTGTTAGCAAAACGTTATATTTACATTACATACTTTATATATATATATATTACATTAACAAAAAGAAATTATATGATACTTCCTTCATTCTCCAGTTTCTTAAGATATACTCAACAACAAAGGTTCCTGTGACACCAATATTTTAGTGTATTTTTCAAACAAGTAAAGTTTGGTGTTTCAATAATGTAGTACATGTATGCAATCAAGTCACAAAAACGCAACCGCTACAGAAAAGCATGCATACCATGCAAAAGTTGACTTTTATGCAAGCCCCATGCATTTCACTACCCAAGAATGGGTACAAAAACATATGCTCTAACGGAATTCCATATGCATTGTTTAGCATCGTACTGACAACAACCACTCAGAAAAACAACAAAATTACGCAATTATTCAACATTACGAAAATGAGCGTCTGCGAGCCATTGGCATGCTTGAAGCAGGATCGAGTCAACGTGATGTTGCAAAAACAATTTAACGTCCACAGAAACACCATTTGGAATTTATGGCAACGTTGGCAACAGACGAATGCAGTCAGAGACCATCCTCGGAGTGGCAGGCCACGCGTAATCAATAATCGACAACTGGATTCGAACAACACACCTACGAAATCCATTCCAGCCAGCAACAGTGACTGCAAGAAGAATCCCTGGCCTTCGACGAATATCTTCACAAACCGTACGTCGTCGCCGCAAATGTGCAGGGATTGTCGCCAGAAGACCCGCCAGACGTCCCATTTTGACAAGAAACCACTGTCAGGCACGTCTACAGTGGTGCAGACAGCGTCTACGCTGGACGGCCATGCAGTTGGGACAAGTTCTATTCACTGACGAGTCTCGTTTTCACCTCAGCCACAGCGATGGACGGATTCGAGTGCACCGACGTCGAGGTGAACGTTACGTCAATCATTGTGTCATTGAAGAAGATCGGTTCGGGGGCGGGAGCGTTCTTGTATGGGGTGGGATTACAGCAAGACAGAGGACCCGTTTGATAGTGGTAGATCGAAATCTTTACCTTTCAACATGACAAGGCCCGGCCTCATATTGCTCGACTTGTTCAGGATTCTCTTTACAAAACAACGTGAATGTCATCAACTGGCCGGCTCGCTCCCCTGATCTCTCACCAATCGAGCACATGTGGGATGAGCTGGATCGGCGCCTTCGACGTCAACCACGTGTTCCACAGACGCTCCAGGAACTTCGAAACATGCTCCAGTAGATATGGACAGATATCCCACAGGACTTTGTGCGACGCCTGGTCCATTCCATGAGACGAAGATGTGTTGCTTGCATCGCAACCAGAGGTGGACACACACGCTATTGATTTGTAAATTGACATTTTGGCATGTTCATGAAACAATTTGTTATGGAATCACGCATTTTCTGAAGTCAGTGTGGCAAATTAAACAATTTGAACACTTACAGGAGTATTTTAACTGTTGCAAACCGAAATTGTTTCAGATTTGGTAAAAAAACATAACTTTGCATTAAATCTTATTCATTGTCACAGGAACTTTTGTTGTTCAGTATATTTCATTTTGTGCAAAAGGAGACTCGTACAAGTCATGATACACAAATAAAAATAGCTTATTAGTTTGTTTGTTGTTTAACGCTGCCCTCAGCAATATTCCAGTTTTATGAAAGCGGTCTGAAAAATAATCGAGTTTTGACCAGCCAATCCAGTGATAGACATCATGAGCATCCGGGATGTGGCAGCACAGGAAATGTAGAGATTCACTGTCCGTATCTATGTGAAAGCAACATGGCTTGCTGCATGAGCGTGATTGTAGGCATCTTCCCCAGTTGGCTTGGGCCAAATGAGAGCTGTGGTCAGTGCCAAATATAGTATGTTTTCTAAACATGGTAAAGACCGCCTCCGTGGTCTAGTGGTAGAGCGTCCGCCCGGAGAGCGGAAGGACCGGGGTTCGATCCCCGGCCGCGTCATACCAAAAGACGTTAAAAGATTGTACTTGTTGTTACCCTGTCTGGCGCTCGGCATTAAAGGTCTAAAACAAGGACTGGTCGGCTCGGAGTCAGTATACTGTGTCTGAGTGGGGTATCCATGTTAAACTGCGGCATGGTATCTCAGTGAGCTAGCACTATAAATCGGCATCAGTCCGGACTAGTACAAGCAGCCACACACACACATACACGTGCTTGCACGTCGCTATATAAGTGCAATAATCTTGGACGCGACGTTAAACCCAATTTCACCTTACCTCACCTAAACATGGTAAAGAATAGTACACGTGAGTAATTTCAGTGATTACTGTTTGTGATTATGGTGTTATGAGAAGCTAAACATGGTTATTTATCGCCATCGAAGACAGGCGCACCTTGCTTTTTCAAATAATATGTTACTGACAAATGACAAAAAGATTGGCCAAAAGTTTAGCATGAAGCAGAAAACAGAATGTGAACTGACTTCATTTAGAACATATGACCCGTGAAGATACGGGTAGAATAGGTCTTTAACAACCCATGCTTGTCGTAAAAGGCGACTGTGCTTGTCGTAAGAGGCGACTAACGGGATCGGGTGGTCAGACTCGCTGACTTGGTTGATGTCATCGTATCCCAATTGATGAATGCTCATGATGTCAATCACTGAATTGGCTGGTCCTGACTCGATTATTTACTTACCGCCGTCATATAGCTGGGATATTGGTGAGTGCGGCGTTAAACAAACAAATATTTAGTATATAGAGTATAGAAACTGGCTATACTGAGTCAGTGCGTCTAATGTTATAGGTGTCCTGAGTGGAATGACAGGGTTATCACGGGATCAAGTCTTTGAATGGCATCCACAAGGGATAAACATAAAGAAGAGAATTAAGGGGATGTCAGCTTCTTTACCATGAGGAATACAACGTTTCGGAGTATATACATACTCCTTCATCAGGTGTAAGAATGCTACGAAGCAGAGAATGTATGGTGTGTGTGTGTGTGTGTGTGTGTGTGTGTGTGTGTGTGTGTGTTCTTGTATGTATAACAAAAGTAGTAATAGGATGACAAAGATGGAAACTTAACAAGGGAAGCCAACACTTGATTAGCGCTGATAGGTGATTAACAGTGGAACAGTTTGTAAAAAGGTCGAACGTTTTTCTTTGTTTGTTGTTTAACGCCGCACTCAGTAATAGTCCAGCTATATGACGGCGGTCTGTGAATATTCGAATCTGGACCAGACAATCCAGTGACTGACATGGGCATAGATCCATGCAATTGTGATACGATGACATGCATCTACCAAGTCAGCGAGCCTGACCCACAGCTTAGTCGCCTTTTACGGCAAGCATTGGTTAGACAAAGTCTACCCCGGATCTTCACGGGTCGGTATAATTTTATTACGGAATGGAATGGTTAGAATTATAATATTCTACTCAAAAGAAGTTAGGGAACACTTATATAGTTGCACTTAAAATAAAAAAGGAACAGAAGACGAAGACATGTGTAGTAAATTCAATAATGACCGAGTATACAGTAAGAAAGAATCATGAACCATCCAATACATTTCATAACGTGAACAAGTGTTGATGTCAATAATGTCACTGGGGTCAAAATTGGAAATCCAGGCCATGAGAGAAAAGTCAGTAACGAGTGTGTCCGCCCCTTGCAGCCACACATGCAACACAACGACGCCTCATGGATGTCACTAATGTCTGTTGCGTGTTCTGTGGGATAGCATGCCACTCCAAACTCAGCCATTGAGCAAGCTGGCGCAGATCTTGAGGTGGAGGGTGGTTCTCCCTAACACGTCTCGTTAACAGATCCCATACGCGTTCAATGGGTGCCATATCAGGAGAATATGCTAGCCATTCCATGCGAGTAACATTGTTTCGTCCCAGAAAGTCAGTGACTATGCGTGCACGATGAGGTCTAGAATTGTCATCCTGGAAAACCACCTGTGGGCCTATCCGATGAAGACAAGGAATCGGAATCATTGGTCTCAGAATCTCATCCCTGTAGCGAACGGCATTCAAATTCCCGTACAGATTGGTTCTGTGATCGAATAAGAAGGCGGCCCACACCATGACACTACCACCGCCAAAACGATTGTGCTCACGGACGTTGACGTCAGAAAAACGTTCCCCACGCCGTCTGTAGAGAAGAACACAACCGTCATTATGCTTCAGTGAGAACCGAGAATCGTCAGAAAAAAGTACTGGTGACCACTGTTGTCTTGTCCGCTGTCGGTGTTGCCCTGTCCATGCGTCTCTGGCTGCTCTGTCACGCGGAAGAAGAAGCGGTCTAATGGCTTGACGTCGGGGCCTGATGTTTCTTTCCCTCATACGGTTTCTTATGGTTTGGTCACTGACATTTGTTCCTGCAGCAGCCCTCAATTTCCTTCGAAGATGGTTTGCTGTGACTGTTCTCCTCCTCAATGCTTCAACAACGACATACCGGTCTTCTCTTCCTGTTGTCACACGAGGGCGTCCTGACCTTGTTCTATCACGTAGTGTCTGTGTTTGTTGGAATCGCTGAATTAATCTGCAAATGACGGATGGACTTATATTTAACCTTCGAGCAGCTTCCCGCTGTGAAACATTCTCATTTAGCCACCCAATAACTCTGGCTCGTTCTTCAATCGTG